TTAGGATATTAAGTAAAGATCATGTTCCATTAAGATATTTTGTAAATTTCCTACTGTAAATATATTAAAACTTTTTTTTTTATGGTAATATGCATTGCTAAGAACTTAATTTGGACAACTTTAAAGTAGAGACCTGCACTCCCGCGGGAGGACCGCGGGACCCAACGCTACAGGGTGCGGCGTGGGACAACTCTTGATGGGCGAGTGCGGCTGCGGGCGGGAAGAGACTCGTGTGTGTGCGGGATGCGGGAGAATAAAATGATTCGCGATACTCCCGCAAAATAGAAATTATCTAAACATAAAATGTTTAAAACATATAAATTGTTATTTATCTGTTGCACAAAAGCAAAAGAACAACTAATATTAACATTAAAATGATTGACATGCGCGAGCTAGGCATAGTTTCTATTTATAACACGTGTTTAAAAGGTTGCGCAATGTAGCCAATCACAGACTCTGGAACGCAATGGCCAATCAGAGGTGCTGAAATTGCGTGCTCACGAATCCTCTCATTTTAACACATGAAGTATAGACACTGTGAAAGATTCATTGTGCATATATTTAATGTGATATAACAGAGCTTTATGAGATCCCGATTAACTGAGATGTCAGCTTTTAGTGATAATAAAGGAAGCGCACTGCTCGCATTCTGCCATGCCAAACCATGCACGCAGCAGCACATGCTTGCTTTTCTGTTAAAAATAACAGTGGTTTGTGAATGTGAATGTTGATGCTTAGCCTAAATAACAAATATTTTATCGGGAGTGTTTATGCTGGTATGTTATGGAGCTTAGGAGATATTACAGAACCATTTCATGTAAATTTCTTTGATGTACTGAAAAAAAATCTATATAGATTACTTTTATGCGGGCTTTTGCGGGTGGGAGCGGGACAAAACATGAATGTCGCGGGCGGGAGTGGGACCAGATGAGATATATTTCTGCGGGAGCGGGCGCGGGACAGAATCTTGTGGGAGCGGGACTGAAAAATCCATCCTGCGCAGGTCTCTACTTTAAAGGTGATTTTCTCAGTATTTAGATTATTTTT